ACAGAACAGAACAGAACAGAACAGAACAGAACAGAACAGAACAGAACAGAACAGAACAGAACAGAACAGAACAGAACAGAACAGAACAGAACAGAACAGAACAGAACAGAACAGAACAGAACAGAGCAGAACAGAACAGAACAGAACAGAACAGAACAGAACAGAACAGAACAGAACAGAACAGAACAGAACAGAACAGAACAGAACAGAACAGAACAGAACAGAGCAGAGCAGAGCAGAGCAGAACAGAGCAGAGCAGAGCAGAGCAGAACAGAAGAAAACAGAACAGAATAGAACAGAACAAAACAGAACAGAACAGAACACGACAGAACAGAACAAAACACAACACAACACAACAGAACAAAACACGACAGAACATATAAGGGTAAAAGCTATTCTGAGCTGGAAGAAAGGGCAAACCAACAGACTTAGAAGAAGAGAAGGGACAGGGTCATGGCTTGTTAAATGTCAGTGATTCATGACTGGCAAGGAAAAGATGGTCGATTAAAGTATGWAGTGAAGGTTAAATACTAGAAAAAAATTAAATGCCGGAACTTTCAAACATATATGCTTTTTCATGTTAATCTCTTTTCCAACAACTGACGTAACAAGTAAAAAAGGCCATATTAAAGCCAAGGCATCCCTAATCCTTCCACGAACAATTCTCCAGTTTAAACAAGTGAAATGAGTTAAGCTCTAGTATCATTACTTGTAGATGAGAATCTATCAATGCATTCAAAGTTCGTAACCACCTGCATTCCAAGTCTTCTCACCTGCAGTAATTAGGCATGCCTCCTGGGCAACTCGCATCTACCAAAGTTGGAATCAACCTGTTTAAATTTTCTTGCAAAATGTCTCTGCAACGTATTGGAGTGCGTCAATCCTTTACTCGAAAGAAACGCCAAAATGATGCAGGAGAATGCCAACTGTAACGGACGATGGTGTCAACTGGTGCTACATGCACACGACGACATTCTCCGTCTCGCCCTCATCACGCTACTCCGTACCTTTTACCCATCACAACAGCTGAGGTTTATCAATCATATTACTGGACATCCTTATTATGCACTTCAAAAACAAATGCCGTTCCGCTGTACATAGGTAACAACAACCTCTGAACATGTAACACCTGGAAAATCATCTAAAGACCAAACAGACTTTCCCTGATCAGTTCCAAAAAGGCTTGTGGGATGAATACAGATTCTTGATTTATTAGAGCAAATCCCAGACACTCAGGTTTAACACTAATAAAACTAAGAATAGATACTTGTGTATATCTTATCGTAATATAGTTGCGTTATATGTAAAATGACAAGTTGCATAAGACTCTACTATACTGCTATTTCTATATATGTGGTACTAACCTATRACTGTATTGGAATCTACTGTACTTGTATTTCTATATGGGTGTGGTACTAACCTATGACTGTATTGGAATCTACTGTAATAGTGTCCGCAKAAGGCTGGACCGAGTCAGTGTTTTGAGTTAGTCGAGTGTTGTTGTAAAGTTCGGGTTCTTAGTGTATAGTTCTGGTTTCTGATCGTAATAAAGTAAAGGAAAAAGGATCACAACAAAACGTTACAACTCGTGGCAGCGGTAAAGTCATSTCACAAGAAGTACAATTTGGTCCGCTCATCGACTTGGATGGCGCCATTGGCCGCCACGGCTACCTCACAAAAGAATACATTAATGGWCTCACCACCACATTCTAATCCAATAAAATACCATGACATCGTTGAAGGAAGCTCACCTAGTTCTCAACAGCTGATGGAGTCGATCAGTGAGCTGAAGGACTTAGTCCTTGGAGTCGGTCAACAAAGTCAACATAGTTAACATGCCGAAGACCAGTTTCGTCAAATCTCAGCGCGACTTGACCAGTTTGACTCAAGGCTTTCTTCAATGGAAAAACTTAACTCGAGAGCCTGGGTCCATTGACGATCCTACGAAGAGCAAAGAAACTGGAGGAGAAATGCCCCTGTTCAACGTCCAGAATACGTTTTTAACAAATGCTCCATCGCCGCCATCTTTGATTCATCCCAGTCCCGCGCGTCCAAGCGAAACACAGGCACCCCACAACGACAACAAGAAATTCATTGGAAACGCGGCCATTGAAGAAAAACCTAAAGTAAAGCCCAGTACCTACAATGGAAGTACTCCTTGGGAAGATTATCTGGCCCAATTTGAACTTGTAGCGGAAATAAATAAATGGAGCATGACGTCAAAAGCCACCTACTTAGCTGTGAGTTCTTAGCTGGTTCTGCCCAGGCTGTTTTTGGAGACCTCGCTCCTGAAGCTCGCCGAGATTTTTCTGAGCTTACAAGTGCACTCGCGGCAAGATTTGGAACTGAGAACCAACARGAAGTCTTTCGTTCAGCCCTAAAGAATCGGTCAAGGCTGAAAGACGAAAAACTCCCAGAGCTTGCGCAAGCCATTAGAAGGCTCACACGTCAGGCATACCCCGAGGCTCCACAGCAGCTCCGTGAGACCTTAGCCCGTGATTACTTTATGGACGCAGATATGAGATGGAGAATTCACCAAAGCAGGCCTAAAACCCTAAACGACGCCCTTACTGTTGCTGTTGAGCTGGAAGCCTTCTTGGAAACCGGTCACCCCAGAGAACAAGTACATTCTGGTTATCAGTGACTACTTTACAAAGTGGACAGAGGCATACGCAATCCCAAATCAAGAGGCAGTAACAGTAGCTCGTGTTCTGACAGAAGAATTTATCTCTCGTTATGGGGTCCCTATGGAAATTCACTTCCCTTTTCAAGGAGGTTTTGAACATCCTTGGTTTAGACAAAACRAGAACAACTCCCCTCAGRCCCCAATCTGATGGAATGGTAGAGAGGTTTAATCGGACCCTAAAGAACATGCTTTCAAAGTTTGTCAAGGACAATGTTAGTGACTGGGATTGCCACTTACCCTTGCTTATGATGGCTTACCGCTCATCTGTGCATGAGACGACTGGTTGTTCCCCAAGCGAGTTGATGTTCGGTAGGGAAATCCGACTTCCTGTAGATCTCATGTTTGGTGTTCCTAAGTCGGAAAAAGATCTTACGGACACTTGCGACTATGCACGTTCCTTACAGGAYAAGATCCGTAAGGTGCATGGCTACGCAAGAGAACACTTAACAATCCAAAGTGACAGGCAGAAGAGAAAGTACAATCAACGACTTAATCAAAAAAACGTATGATCGAGGGGCACCAGTTTGGTTTTACAACCCAAAAAGGAAGAAGGGAGTTTCCCCTTGCTTACAGCTTCCGTGGGAAGGCCCGTATCTTGTTCTGAAGAGGATTAGTGATGTTGTGTACAAGATCCCGAATAGTCCTCGATCCAAAACAAGAATTATTCACCATGATCGTCTCCGGCCCTACCATGGAGAGAAGGCACCAACTTGGTTAGACGACGTTGAAGAAGTCCAGCCAGTTACAACGGACAGCCTCGGAAGACCTTCTTCGAAAAAGACACCTGACGAATGTCATGAAAGACCAGAGACCACGGAACCTAGACTAGTTTGCAAAGATCAAAGACGCCCGGCAAGACTAAGAAAA